TAAGCATTATTCTTTGTATTATAATATTAATTAGTTAGTATCTGTTTCAAAATCTAAACGAAATTTCACAGGAGCTAAACAAGACTAACAAGACGTTTGTCTGTCTGTCTGTCATTCTGTCTGTTTGTTACCTCTTCACGCTTACACCGGTGACCGATGTAGATGAAATTTGGTATAGAGATAGTTTGAGTCCCAGAAAAGGACATGATTTTTTTTTATTTGGACCACCTACAAGAACCTTGAACCTACAAGACCTTACATGCTAAAAATACATTTTTCTTTTCTAAATAAGTTGGTGTTGCCTTAAAAGCAGGCTGTCACGGAAAGAATAGAAATTTTAATCTAATTAGGAGCATAAAGGCATCCTTTACAAAAAATATTCTGACTATATTGAATATCAAAAAGCAAAAAAAATCCGTCAATTTCTTAAGACAAAAACCAAATAACAACGAAAGACAGCATATGCGTTTATTACCCGTGGTCCACTTAAAATGTTCACCTGGGTGGACTCCGGAAACTTGTTATGACCCTAAGTACACCTGGTGGAATAAGGGGAATTGTTCTGACCCTTGGTTCACCTGGGTGGACCACGGATACTGACGCAGACCGTTTATTTTCCATAGTTTCATTGGACATCCCATTGATGAGACGACGGGAAAGGAACTTTAACCGTGTACCCGTTGACCAAGATTAGGAACCACCGAAATTTAGTTTTACCTCATTACCGCGTTTCTTTGAAACCATTAATACTGATGTAAAAAATATGATCACAATGAAATTATACTTCAAAAACATACATTTATAAAATCATTATTTCGCAAAAAGTACCAGGAGACCAGAGATGGTTGGAACGCTGAAACGCTGGTTATGAAAATGGAAAAAAGCGGCCAAGTGCGAGTCGGATTCGCGCACCGAGGGTTCCGCACAAACTTGTAAGTAAATTTTCATAATTATTAAAAAGATGTAACTAAAAATTTAGGGTTTCGCAATTTTTCCTTTATCTATACTATAAGACATTACTTCGTACCAAATTTCAAGATTCTAAGTTCAGGGGTGGTACTGTAGGTTTCGATTCCCGTGCGAGTTTCAAAAATTTGCGGAAATTTGCGGCATAAACGGCTGTATCTTTTGATTGTTTTGGCTTAGAAGTATATAGACCTGAGCATTAGATATGAATTTCAGTTTGTTACCTCTACGCGTTCCTGAGAATAACGGTCTTGACAGACGGACGGACGGACAACAAAGTAATCCTATAAGGGTTCCGTTTTTTCCTTTTGAGGTAGGTAATAAATAATATTTTTAAATAATAATTAAAATATACCTACCTACAGATTTGTAACCCTCGATGCGCGATTCCGACTCGCACTTGGCCAGTTTTTATATTTAAATTGGACGGTAAACACGATCAGCTGATGAGTAATTTTTCAGGTGAACCAAACGTTAGAACAATTCCCATCAGTCCACCCACGTGAACAAAGGGTCAGAACAAGTTTCCGGAGTCCACCCAGATGAACTTGTTAGGTGGACCACTAGTAATAAACGGAAATAATATATTTTTATTTCTCCCTAGAATCTTTCTATGGGAAACCAATTAAGTCACGCAGACGAACTCGCCACTAGTAAAACATACACTAAGAACTTGTTGCCAAACTCAACGCTAACCATTTGACTGAATATAATGCAGTCACATTAATGTAAATGGAAATACGAACTGATATATCGCCGACCTACGAGAAATTTCTTGGCATGATTTTACTCATGTAGTTTCTCCCAAAACCAGACTGAGTGTATGCGATTTCCAATTCGCAATTTGTTTTCACATTCAAAATGCCCAAAAATACATTTTACTTTTTTGTTAGTAATCTTGTCAGCCCAACAGAAATGTCAGTAAAGTTAATTAATAATAATCCAACATATAATTTAAATGAAATATATAATAAACAATTTCTGGCTATTGTTTAGCCAAAAACTAATAAAAAGGGATGAAAACTTAAGAGCGTATAAAATACATAATTTGAGTTAAACCATGACTCGGGTCGTAAACAACTATAGTCGCAACGCGATCAATAAAAATAAAGTTGATAAGAAATTGTGAACATAAAGTTATTAAATAAAGAAATTGTACTTCACAACTACCATTACACGAACGCCGGAGTCAACAGTTAATGCGGCAATAACTTTATTCAATTCGAGCAAAATTCTAGTCAGATTTATTTTTCTTGCAGGGTCATAATTGGATAGTATGTAACTGAGATTGTAACTGTCATCCTACATTATTTATAACTTTACTTTCCACAACAGATAGCACTATTTTGAACAACGCTATAAACAAAAAACTACTGTCCGACTATAAAATTGCAATAGTCAGCCACCTGGGGGCCATTCGCCTAACGGAAATGCTTTGGAAAACGCTAACGCTTACGATTTCATTTTGTTATTTCTAGACACCTGAGACTTTCAAATACCTCGCGCTCTTTTTTTTTGTTTTGCATTGGTAATAACAATATTAAAACAAAATGAGCGTGAGGTATTTGAAAACCTTCGGCGGTCATAAATAACAAAATAAAATCGAAAGCGTTAGCGTTTTCCAAAGCAATTCCGTTAAGCGAATGGCCCCCCGCCTTGATAAAATTTCGTGAAAGGTAACTTTAAAATTTTCGTTCATTTAAAAATCTACTTCTGTCGTTTGTTTCTCATTTTGTTTCCATGATTTTGTAACGTCGCATCTCCACCTCGTTGTATTCATTCGGACCGTTAACTCTTTCTTGTGGCCTTAGCATGTGACAATGTGGCGTCAAAACTTTTGTTCTTGTCTCAAAGGCCACTTAAAACGAGTCTTACTTGAAACGCCTTCCTCACCACATTGTGAAAGCTAATGTTCGCCTATTTGTATTCACACCCGCACAAAGGCACGCAATCTTGAGTCAGGTTCATCATTCTTTGCTTCTCTATCTACTGTACTACGAAAACACCGAAGAAACGTTCCTTGGTATTTTTTTAAAATTAATTTAGGTAAACAAACAATGGCACAATACGTTTTAGATACTAGTACTTAAAACAATTATGTATAATTGTGACACCAGCAACGTTTACCGCAAATTACAACAAAAATATTAAACTAGAAATGGACCGACAAATAAAGTGAGAGAGGCGATGTTAATTAAGCTTCTTCAAACAAAGCTTTTCCATATGTTTTTTTGTTTTCTGTTGCCATATCCAAATAATTAAATAAACTATTATTGGTTCGACAACGGGCAACAGCAAATAATTTACAGGTATTACGACAGTGAGATCTGGTAGGTACTTTCTATCTTTATCTATTCGTTAACGTGATACTATTTTAAGGGCATTCAATGAAAAAACAATTTTCTATGGGGAATTTGCATCACCTAAGCGTTCATCATTCTTGCCAGAGTAACTACATAATAAATATCTTTTGTCTGTAGTTTGAAGCGTCGTCGTGCTAATTGAATACGAATCATACGATTATATTAACTGGCGCTGTACGAATCCGCAATCAAACATATCCATTTAGAATAAGTACCCAAATTGAAGGCGGTGTGATGTGATTCGATTTGTATGATCAAATTTTGCACGTACGTATTAGCGACAATAGCGTATTCGACTGTTGTTCAGTTAGGACGCTGCTTAAGAATGTCAATGAAATTCTGAAACAGGTTCCAAATAAAATAAAACCAACTAAAAAGCTATAAGTTAGCTTAGTTACTTGAGCTCGCATACTTAGTTTTTATATCGAAGATTGTTTTATAATAGTATCAAAGTGCAAAAAAAATTGGCTACAGTGTTGGTAAGCCCTAAGAAACTAAGCTTAGTTATTAGTCTACGAAAGGCTTTAGTTTTAAAACTATTCTAACCCAAGAAGTACGGTTTCAAGTTCCAACCATAATCTCCTAAAATACAGCAAAATAATGATGGCATTGTTGATCTAGCAATTTTAATCGATAGCATTAAAACCTTTTTGCAAGATAAACATGACCTAGACGATAAACATTTTTTAGTGAGCTATTCGCAACATTAGCAACCAAAGTACAAGCTAAAATAGACTGGAGTTTTTAAATTGATGGATTTGCAGTTAGACGAGCTGTGTATCGTGGGCAGTTCTCATTATTCAAATCGATTCACGGTGAAGCCTGTCTAATGAGCAATTTACTTTGGTCCTTAAGCAAACGCCCATATCAATGAACAGAGGTACCTACAGCCGATGCATCACTGCCGATTTACGCAAACACACCAACGCGTAATAGACAATAAATTCAAGATTCGTGCTGTGTAGCACACTTGAGGAAAGGTACAGTGCTAATTCTAGCTTCCTACGTAACGTTATTACGATCGACTGCCGCGAATCCACGACGTGGTACAAAACTGAATGACAATGTTCGGAATCATTGAAATGTGGTCATCGAAGATGTGGTAATCATTCAGAGCATACGTTCCGAATAGAAAGTCAATTCTTATGTCAATACGCTAAACGACAAGGCGCGCTATGATAGTCAAACTTAACCCACCCAACCTCGTCTTTTGTTCATTAAATAAAAGAATAAAAGACGAGGTCACGACTCGAGATTATCATTAGTAGACCAATTTCAATAATTGTCATTAGTATTCATTTAATATCAATTAGTCAAAACAAATCCGACTAATCGAATAAGTTTAGGAGTTCTGGCTTCAGGTTTTATGTTTCTCTCATAAATACACTGGGGATGGATGAAATCGTAGATGGAATAAATTTTAAAACTGTTAAGGAAACGTGTTAGTTAAGCATTTTATAGAAAGGCTTTCTTTAACAAACTAGTTACATAAAAGCATAAACAATAATCTTTCCTATTGTTTGTAAGTGTCATAGAAGTAGATACATAAATTGATAATGTTAGCAGCTAACCTAATGATGATGCACGAGTAATATCTACCAGGGATTATAATGTTAGTCCAACGCCATCCTTAAATCATGCTGGTTAGTGTTACAGCACACATCAACTAACTGTCCGGTAGCGTCCAAGAGTTCAAGGCGACGTGATTGGTGATGCTCCACTCTGGTACTCCGAAATGTTCCTTCAGACAGGAACTATTACTGGTTTTCATCATTTCCAGGAGTTTCTTAGTCGTCTTTCCGACATTCTCGTCCCGTTTGATGAACGCGGCGATGTCGACTCCGCACGTCTCGTTTACCGTCTTCCTGCATTCTGCTGCAGCATACGGCGAGAGTTTCCCGTTCGCATGGACGACTGAGCCGCAGACTTCGTTCAATAGCTCCAATAGTGCAACCTCTTTCTCGAACATCACCTCGCAACATCCTGTTGAGCAACTAATGGGATTTTTTTGGCTGCTACATAGAATGCAATAACTGTTATTTTGCGTTTTTTTCAGGTTACAGATCTGCACTTTGCAAGTCTTATGGTTTATTGATGGTCAGTTTTAGGCCCTACAATAAATATGAACTTGTAATTCTGATAATAATATTTTTTTGAAATTCAAGGATAATTAGTACAGGTACTTGATCAATAGATCCTTAATATAAATACACAATGAGACTGATTCTGACAAATCTAAACTTAAATTTTATTTCACAACAGTGTATCCTTGTCATGTTTTATACAGAAAGAGAAGGAGAGACTGTTTTGTGAAATTTGGTTTTAAGTTTAGTTATGCATGCCAGAATTGGTGCCAATGAAGGGATCATTCATGAATTTCTTCAATAAATTAAAATATTTGTTCAGTTTAGTGATTTCTTACAAATCCAATTACCTAACTTTAATTTTAGAGAAGGAAGGTCTACATCAAAAATTGTCAATGAAAGTAATATAATAGAAATGATAAAGTATTTGAAACTTAAATACCTTTATTATTTATAACTGTATAGATAATATACAAAACCGGCTACCTGACTTCAGTAGCTATGTGAAATTTAATGTAAAGCAAATAAAATACCTAAGTGTTGAACTAATAGATTTAAGATCAAATAAAAAATAAAATAAAATACATCTAATGGAAAAGATGTTTGTCAGTTACAATAATCATATCATCATCAGCCTATTAATGTGCCCACCCCAACAGTGGGTCTTCCCTATGGATGGAAGAGAGATTGGGCCATGACCCACTACGCGGGCCCAGTGCTCCCGCGTGGTGGGTCATTACCACGCCATCCCCGCGCCATCAAGCTCCTCAATAACATAACTTGTGATTTCAGAGAATCCTGGTTTTCAGCAAAAAGTACCTACCTAACAGTATGCACTTTCTAGACTATGTTAATTGTATTTTTAAGTTTTAATATTACAATAAAAAAAATACTACACAGGGCATGAAAACTGTTTAAATTTGTTTCATTATATGTATAATTTAATAAAATATTTTGATTTGTAAAGCATTATTATAAGCCAACAATGATTATTATTAATATACTTACCAATAATATCATTTCTATTATCAATAAAAATTTAATCTAAATATCTATAAAATAAATATGTAATGACAGTGGTAACCATTATAAGTTTCAATTTTGGTTTTTTCAGCTTTCGGGACTTCGAGTAAAATGATGTATTAGGTTTTTAATATAGATTAGGACAGGAAAAAGATGAAATTAAAATATTTTATATCCACTTTAAAAACTATATGAAATTATAAATTAGTAAAATCTCAACACAAAAACCAAATGGTTTTCTTGCTGATGAAAAATTACTATAAACTGTACAAAATAGTATCCACTTATGCTATGTATTTTCATCATTTGTTTTTTATTATAATCAGTTAGATAGGCACTTTATTTAATGGATAGTGGTATCGATTCTGGCATGATTCTCTTTAAAGCTTAATTTAACATCAATCCATCCTTTTTATTCTGTATAGAGAATGACAAGGATACACTGTTGTCAAATTTAAGTTTAGGTTTAGAGAATCCTGCCAGAATCGGTTCCAGTATACACCCTGCCAAACTTCTTGCGCATTGACCATAGAAAAAGAAGAGTGCGCAATAACAATTTTACATACAAAAATTCTCTTGCGCGCTACTGCAAAATTTTGTTCTTTGTGGTTTAGCTCAAGAAGATCGCCACTAACTAATATGACTGTGTTGATTGTCCAATTGGATTGAGCTTTACAAAATAGCAGAATTTAATAAGAGGTTTACTCAAAGCAAGCAAAATGTTTTGCTTAAATCAAAGGATTTTTATTTAAATCATTAGTAAAAAATTACAGATAAAGTGATAATTAGTTATTTCTGCCCCCCTAGCATGAGTACATAACACATTTTTATCCTGTCAATTGTCAAATTACTATGGAGTTTGACAGTTAAACGCAATAAAAAATGTGATATAATGTAAATTGTGGTGCTCATGAAACAGGGACTGGTTTCACATTGCTATCACTTACCTACTTAATATTCATAAAATGAGTTTTTTCTACACAAAAATGTGTTGTCAGTATTCATTATTAATATTTGAGGGACTGTTTTACCTGGTCCATATTTATATTGCTGTACATATGAGAATATAAACAGTATTTATTATGGAAGGAAAAACAGAGGAACAGTCATTACATTATCCATCCCACCTTTGAGACAAATGTTTTTGCTTTCCGAAAAACTTTAGGAAGGTTTAATAGATGTATGTATAACTATGACAAAAATGTATTGTTACTATTGAGAAGAAATAAAATTTGTTGTACATGTGATCTCAGCTTTAGTTTGCATTGCTCAGCTATTTGAGTTGTACAACTCATTATAATTAAAATAGTTTATTTGTAATAAACCTATGTTAATGTTTTTCCTAATTGTTTACATATCTAGACGACAACATTATTCTTATCAAGAGTATTTCAATAATTACTTCTGACCATATTGAATACGCAATGCATTTGATTAAGTATCAACAGACATTTATCAGTTAAATGCTTAAAACAAAAATATAATAACCAACTGACAAATTATTATATGCGTCAAATATATTTTTAGACTTTTAAATGTAAATTAAATCTGTTTCAAAGTTTCCTATACTTATAGATGAGGAAATTTTGTATGTAATCTAATAGACTGTTAGCTTATCTTACATAAGCATCACATTCCATTATGATCTTTCGTAAACAAGACTCAAAGTCAACAGCTGGACTGTAGTGTATTTACTTAGCAAAATCTTGTTCTTGTGACTTCAAACAGTTTAAGATATTGTGCAATTTCTGTTTTCTAAATGTGACAATGCTGTGTTATAGTAATTTTAATTGCTATCATAGTTTAAAGGGTCGCAAAATGCTTATAATTAGATTAAACTCTAGAAAATGAAGACGGCGCGTGTCGCCGCCGTACAGCGATATTGACATTGAGCTTGAGTTAAAAATACCGACTTTACCTGCCTCCCGGTCGAACTGGTTGGGCTTTAGCTGCTCCCGCGTGTGGCCCAAGATCAGCGGGGAGAGGATCCTGGGCCACAACACCGCAAAACACCCCACAACAATCACTATTACAAACATCGTCTTCCGAGGACCCAACACCTCCTCGTTCGCCATACTGTCGTCGTGTTTTCGTATCGGTTCGTCACGCACGTACACGCCGGTCGCACTCTACGGGAACATCGTCGTGTGTGATAAAAATAAAAATTTCCTTCCCACGTCCATTCGCTAGAAATGCGCGCAAATGACAGCTGTCAGACGCGCCCCCTCCCGGCGGAAACGTTACGGGAGCGATCCAACTTTCTTCATTAGCACGGGAGCGGCTGCGTTCGGCAAAATTTTCTTCCACCTGAAGAAAGCCGGTGGATTGAGCTGGCTCGAAGTGACACAGCCGTATATAATCATCAAACAGCTATGCCGACTTCTTGCCTTCCCAGCCACCGGCTCGGCTTGTTGAAATTGAGCAGTCGTTGCCTGCCTGCGTGCAGTTCAAATGTTGACAAAATGAATTAGCGTATATCGGACGAGCGTACGGCACTCGTTGGGCAGAGAACTCGGTACAATATGGCTGGGCGCGGAGGCGGCGCCGGCTATTAACCCGTCCCCACCGCGAAGAGGACTACACGCGCTCAGATGAATACTAATTAGCTACTTTTGGTAGGTACAGGCTGCCATTGGTGGTAAACCACTATCAAACTTCTTCACTACTAACTAGTTGTATTGCTAGTAATTTATCAGCAAAATAATGCCGATATCTGGACTTCCAACCCAACACCGATGACGTAGCTGATAACATGTGTACCTACCACAACGATACAGTCGTTTCCTCAAACGGGCATTATGTTAATGATTTACCGATAGTACCAATTACCATTGATGTTAGTTTGTTCCGGACCTACCCACGGTCAAATCAAAACCGCCTAATTTCTAAGAGAGTTCGCAGTTAGAACATCTATAAATTTTTAAATAATAGTAACAATAAATAAATACTTCCAACACTCACACCAATTAGCCTAGCCCCAAAGTAAGCACTAGGCTTGTGTTATGGGATACTAGAGTAAAGGATAGAATACATATATATCGATACATAGATAAGTATATTTATATAGAAATACATATTAAACATCCATGATCGGCGTACAAACCGCTCGGTCACGGAGGTCGCAAATAAATCCCCTTTGATTATTTGGAGTAAACAATGAAAATGTAACCCATCCATAAGTCTCCACTGCTGGGCACCACCAGTAGGTCGAACAGGTGTGGAACAGGGGAGACGGGTAAAAGTGATTGTTAGTGGGTTGTTTTGTGTGCTATGCTTGTGTGTAGAGTCTGTGCGGAAAGAGAATGGGATTTAGATTGGAGGGCGCTGTAGTGCTTTTCTACCGTATTTGTAAGGTTTTACCCCTTTTAGACATGATTAAATACAAAAAACCGCAAGAAATCACAACAACAAACAAATCCGTATCAATACAAAACTTTGACGTTTCACAGATTGCTGGGTTTGATTGCCAAATAAAAATCTTAATGTTAGTTCCGTTTTTCGCCACGCCCATTCTCTTTCCGCACAAACTCTATCATGCATAAGCAGAAATTTTAAAATATTTACCTATATATTTCTATTGCTACTAGAACGAGAAAAAAACGGACATGTGCTGTTCACATGCGATAGATGTGAAACCTACAAAAATGTGAACACGTAAAAGTCCTTCATGACTATACTAGGTACGTCTTAAGACAACACCTGTGTTAAAATCCAACTCTCTAGGGGCATCCATAACTTACCTTACTTACGTCGCACGTAAAGGGGGAGGAAGGGGGTCGACGAAGTGTGACATCGTGTGATAAGGGGGTGGGAGTGGTCCTAAATTTCGTGACGTCACATTTCAAAGTCTAGTATAATCTAAATGTTGAAACACGACCTTTAAACTATTACTTTACAAAAACATTACCAAACGAAAGGAGAACAGAGTGGCTGCTATGCCAGTTATTAATAATTTAAAGGAGTGGGTTGAATGTTCATGGACTCAAGATTATTAACATTGTATATTACATAATATTTATACATAATAGTCTAGCTATCCAAAGGAACGCTGCCAGTATCTTCGGAACCTTGCCTAAAGGGACTTCTTTTAATAATGTATTTTAGTAATTATATTTTATTTTTTAAGGTTTTTAGTTTTAGGTTCATTGTTATAGTATATTTTTTGTTGTAAACTAGTATTAGATAATAGTATATTTAATAAATATTTTTTGTATATTTTGTAATATTTTTTGTTTTTTTAATTTCTTTAATTAATAAAAATGTTTTTTTTTTTGTTAATTTCTTTAATTAATATAATTAATCATTGTTCGATTTGTTGTAAATATTAATAAAAAATAGTTGAAATGGAAATACAACTGATTTTGGAACCTCGGTTTTCATTCAATAATTTCTAAATGTATATTTGCAAAATATGTGTCGTCACACCAGGGAGGCCCGGAGGGGGTGACAAAAGTGACCAGCTGTGACAAGGACAGGGGCAGGGGCAAAAATTCATGAAATTCGTGTGAAGTAATTTATGGATGACCCCTTAGGTCAAAATTTAATATTTAATACTACTTAAATTGTTTCGTAAAATTAATAATAGCTTAATAAAAGAAAAAAATGAAAATGTGCGTTATGTTTAAAGACATTATTAAACTAATCACTTTAAATGGTACATTTATATACTATTCAATTTAAGTTATATTTTTCGCAAACAAAAATAAGCTTAATTACTTACTTAAGTAGATACCAAGTTTCATAAATGTACTTGCGATCGCACGCTCCATCTCAGGAATTTAAACAAATTATTTTAAAGGTTAGATTATTTAAAGCACGCATGCTTACTTCTATTTTACAAAGATTAGATAGAAGCTTAGATTAACGAGCAAGAAATAAACTGTAATAAACACATCAGACGATATCCATTAAATAAATATTGTATAATCATATACATACGAGTAATATTACTGTTCAAAATTAGTTAATTGAAGCTTTTGTATTATGGTAATCAGAAAAAAACTACGAGAAAATAATCAGCTAGACCCGAGAAAATAAATAAAAAAGTCAATTTTATAAGTTGACCATTGAAATCGACAGCCCAAAGATAATTTAATAAAGCCATCTCATATCCAGGATAATGCGAATTCGTACCCAGTTCGGGCCAAGAGAGTGCGAAGGTGTACAGTGAAGCCAGACTATTAACTCAACTTTTGTGAATTGCTTCTAAGAAATAATTGCAGAAAAAATACGAATTCTTAAAGAATCAAACATACAAATGACGACCTCCGTGGCCGAGTGGTTTGTACGCCAGGTTTCATGGTGTCTCCGACTCGAGAGGTCCCGGGCTCGAATCCCGGTGGGGGCAGATGTGTGATGCACACGAGCATTTGTACTCCAGTTATGGATGTTTAATATGTATTTCTATATAAATATACTTATATATGTACTGTATATGTATTCTATCCGTTACCCGAGCATTCTATAACACAAGCCTTATATTATAGTCCTTACTTTGGGGCTAGGCTAATTGGTGTGTGTTTAAAAAAAAACACTTCACAATAAGTTCGGCAACAATAGTATTTGGTGTTCGGCCGAATATAATAAAAGTAGCCGAAAAAGCTGAATCCCGATATTATTTATAGTCCATGGTCTGCATGGTCATTGTACGAGTATATCCGAGTCTAAGTTGCAAGTTTAATTATTATTCTTTCATTCTGATTTTCATTATCAAATTATAGGTACCTAATATAGGTTTTAATAAACTCAATCTTTCACCAAGGGTAAATTTTGTATTGCAATGGTAGATGTACGGAACCCTTCCTCGTAGATGATTTAATTATAATAACATAATAAAGTGGCGCATATACGCCATATATTTAGCTATATAGCTAAACTACTAAAAAAAGTAAAAAAAAAAAATTTCGAACACATACCAATTAGCCTAGCTCCAAAGTAAGCACTGTAAGGCTTTTGTTATGGGATGCCAGGTTAACGGATAGAATACATATATAGGTATATTTATATAGAAATACATATTAAACATCCATGACTGGAGTACAAATACATATCATATTGATCACACAAACATCTGCCCCCACCGGGATTCGAAGCCGGGACCTCTCCGCGTACAAACTACTCGGCCACGGAGGTCGTCGAAATTGAAATTATGTAACAAATAAAGATAAACGCTTCTCTTTCTTTGCATGAAAGGACACTCAGGCTCAGTAGTAGTAGTAATTCACTAACTCAAAAATCATTCATTCAGTTAAGGCTTATACAAGCACTTGTGAAGGTCAAGAAGCTACGCCATCGGTGGAAGTGATAATCACCGAGCTATTTAGTGATCCACTTCTGCTATAATATAACGCCACTAAGATACATGTTCTGAAATACATAGACGGATGACGGATATGCGATATTCTCTTTAGCTATGCATTGTAAATCACCCGCCAATCCGCACTGGGCTCGCGTGATGGGTCATGGCCCAATCTCCCTATTCCATTCATAGGAAAGGCTTGTGCCCTAGCAGTGGGGACATTAATAGGCTGATGATGATGATGATGATGCATTGTAAATGTCAAAAAAGTTAGGGAATAGGCCAGCTGGTCTCAAATGATCAGGTTATATGAAGCAACTTGGTGAAAACCCTTCCCGGACGACCACCTCTCTTAGTCTTTATAAGTAGGATAAATCTCAGAAAATTTTTGAACTGAAGGCAGTTCTTTTTCTTTCATGTTTCAGACTCCAATCAAGAGGTTAATTTTTGGGCTGTAGTGTTGCACTGCTTAATAAAGTTCCCCAAGATCTGATTGAGCTTCCACTGACCAAATTTAAATTTCAGATTAAGAATACTCTAATGAATTAGAGCTATTATAGGGTTGATGATTATCTAATTGATCGTAATGCATGGACGTAGCGTTTTTTGTAATTTGTCATTTAATGGGTATTAGTCATTTGTCATAACAGTAATGTGGTATCTAATGCCGTTTATATATTTCCTATACTAAAAGTATAAAGTTTACTATAAAATTAATTGTAACTACATATCTTTATTCTAAATGATGTAATGGAAAGTGACTTCAGTAGTATCTCTGAAGACATTTTTCAACTTGACGACTCTGTATATAATAATACAGGGAGAAAAACAACAGCCCTTGTTGAGTTTCTTCTCAGTACAAGGTCTTCCGCCGTAGTTTTGCGAACCGATGGCGTAGCTTCTTGATCTTCACAAGTGCTTGTAACCACAGAACACAGAATTCTGTGTTCTGTGCTTGTAACAGGCCTAGACTGAACAAATGATTTTTAAGTTTGAGTTTGAGTTCTAAATAGTGGGCACCTGCACCCATGGCTTAGAGGCTTTCAAAATCTTTTCCTTTTTGAATGAGAAGATAATAAGATCGGTATCCACCACGTGGGGGCACTACGGATTGGTAGACTCTTGTCACTGTTTCAGATGCATGCATGATTTCAGAACAGGGAACGGTAGAACAAAAGCGGTCACTTACTTCTATTTCTCACCATCGTACCGTTTGT